GTGGGGCTTTCTTACTCGGGCCCCACCCCGTCTCCGACTGGCGGCGGCAGCCGCCGCCGCCTCCGCCGTACCACGCCCAGAGGCCCCGGTTGAACGCTCGCCTGCGTCCAGCGGCCTTGATGAGAATCAAACGTCGACCTTTCGTCCGTCGACGATGAGCGGTGGATGTTGAAGTGTATGCAAAGTGAAACAGCTGCAGTCGGATTACTGTCGCGCTCTTTGACGATACATGAATGTTTCATAAGCAAGTGTGCATTTTTGTGTGTAATAAAACACCACAGGGCCCGAATACTTTCACACAGCGATGCAGCCGCTCTTGTTATTCTGCTCGGCTTTCATGTTTATTCCAGCATTCCTCCATGGACGAGGCTGCAGACGTGTCTCCGACTCTCACTCTTGTGTGTCCCCATCTCTCCCAGACGCCTCCACCTCCTCCTCCTCCTCCTCTTTTTTTTTTTTTTTCTCTCTCTCTTACACTGCTGTCAAAGGCCAGACAGAGACTGGAGTTCACTGTGAGGTAATCTCTGTAAAAATGTGTGTGTGCAATTAATGTCACTGAGCAGCCTCCATTATCTGTGCACTTCTTCTCTCTCTCCCTCTCTCTCTCTCTCTCTCTCTGCTCCTCCCGTCTGTTTGTAGCCACAGGAGAAAAAAAAAAAAAAATCATCTTCATATCCCAGAAGAAGAAAATCGAATCTTCTTACCAGATGTAATGAATCTGCTTTTATCATCCATTAACTCCACTTATTTGTGTTTGTGTTGCAGGAAAATTATATCCCGGCCTTGAGAAGATTATCCACATGTGGTAAAAAAAAAACAAAAAAAAACAAATGTTATTTCATCAAGTCAATGGGGTGATTTTGTCTCGGGGCCATATTTCTGCCCGGTAACTCCACTGATAAGTCATCTGTGATTTGTGTGAGCTTTTAATCTCACTGAAGTGTTGCACAGACGCCATTAGTGGAAATGTCACTGTATTTCTGCCGTCGTTTACACAGTTTTTCGTGCGTGATTTATTTTGACATTATAGGCGCAACCGGTTCAGCCGTGACTAAATGTAATGAAGTTCCAAAACGAGCTGAAGAAAGAACTCCAGCGCTGCTGTTTAGTCCGTACTGAGAGAAAACACCATTTGTCTCAACATGTGAGGAGGACGGAGTCAAAAACAAAGACATTACAGCTAATCACAACACAGGAATGTCCCCCTGCTGCCGAACCGCCTTAATGGCACACAACATAAGACTGGATGGGTACATTAGCACACAATTACCCCACGGCCGGGCTCTGGGGCTGCGCCGTGTTCAGTAACGGAGGGCGAGGCAACAAGTCAGGAGGAAAAAAAAAAACTTTTTGAAGGTTTGACTCTGGCGCTGAACCAGAGTCTTATACTGAACTGACATTTACCACAGAGAAATTCAAGCTGAAGCAGATTCTTATATTGAACTGACATTTACCACAGAGAAATTCTCAGAATAGAATGTTTAATGTGACACATACAGTGAAGTATTTGTCGTTGGAGTAAAAGTATGTGACAATTTCTGCTTATTGTGACAGGAAAGAAACAACAACAACAACAACAACAACAACTAGAAGTTAAACAGGTAAGTAAAGATCAACTGTTAGCTCAACAAAAACAAAAACTCAGCTCTTTTATCTTATACTCTGATGATTTTTCACTTTAATTAAAGTGATTTTATGTCTGCAGGACATTGTTTCCCAAAGACTGGGTCGTGACCCTCAGATGGGTCGGTCGTCTCACATCATGTTTCCCAATGGTTTACAAATCATATCTATTGACTTGGGTCGCAATAAAAACATGGGTCCCCAGAAAAAAAAGTTTGGGAAACACTGGTGCAGGACGTGTGAACCTTCCAAATAATATAAGTTAAAATATTCTGTGAAAACAGTGTCTCTCTGCAGGTAAGAACAACACAGCATTTCTTTACTCTAACCTTAAAAACAATGATGTATTTTACAACTTGACTTGTGAAATGTTTGCAGGCGACATTTTCAGTAAATGTTGTTGGAGTGTTTGGTGTGAATGTGTGTGTGAATACCACGTGAATGAGTGGCAGACACTGTAATGAACCGATGTCAAAGTCGCAAAAATGTTTACGCGTTAATTTCTTAGTATAACAGAAGTATAAAAATGAGTCTCTACATGAAAGATAAATAAAAACAGCGATGGACAAAAAAAATCTGTCTCATTTATTTTATATATTTAAAATAAAAAATCTGCACTTTTTTGCATAAACGTACCAAATAAATAAAACAATAAACTCCATAAACATTTCACCTAAAATAATTATACTAAAATATATAAATAATAAAATATAATATATAATATTAATATATAAAAACTAATATATAATAGTTTTTGTTTGTTTGTTTTTTTTTGTTGTTGAAATTGATGGATTCGGTCCAAGCTGTAAAACCTCACATGTTGAATTCTTAAAAACTCTAAAATCCAAAACACGATCCTCACGCTCCTCACATCCAGGCCTCCTTCTGTTTCTTTGGTCTCCATAGTTACCGTCTCAGCGCCTTTCATCTTGATGTGGCTCCTGATCTGGTTAGGTTGCCATTTGGTGCCATTCATTCAGCCGACCATGTGGTTCCGGCCCATGACTCGGCTCTCGTCTGCGTAATTCGGTTTTAGAGCTGACCAGGAACATCTGTCAGAGCTTCTTCAGCTCCTCTTCTTCCTCCTCAGACATCATGGAAAAATACTGAGGCCGCGAGTCGACCTGAACGCCCGAACCCGCGTCGATCTGATCTCAGCGGAGACGCAGGAAGAACGACGGCTCTTTGTAGGTTTTTAGGAGTTGTAGTTGCGTTCAACTCAGTACACGAAGTACCAAGTATAAAGAGAAAAGGATGAAGTGTTGTTCATTAGTTTTAAAAAATGTGTTTCATCTGGTCAGAGCCGTCACACAGACCTTGTGATTATCATTTTTATGACGTTGTATCATTCCAGAAATCTGCGCTCCAGTTAAACAGAACCACGATCATTGAAGAGAACTCCAGGAGTTCCTCTCCAGTAAATGACTCTCTGTTCCTCGGTGTACGACGCAGGCCGCTGCATCTTTTTATTTACGCGTGTTTATTCTTTCCTGGAAAATCTCAGGATGGAAAGAGAAAGCGTCTGTGGTCTGTGGCGTTCGCAGCCTTGGCTGGACCGCTGTGATTTGGTCGAGACATTCTCATCCGCTGCGAGATTAACCGAGAGAAATGAAAAGTATTCCTGTCCAGTTCTGGCCGTCGACGTCCATCATCAGTGTCAGAGTGTTATTTTTAACCGTAAAAAAATTTGGTCACGAACAAAATATAACTTGACCTGCTGCCTTGACAGAACCACTGATTGACCCACAGAGCTTTGCCAGAAGACGGTTAACATTTCTTCTGATTCTGAAGTCCCTATCAATAGAACGTAACGCGATTCTTTTTTTTTTGCCAATTACCAAACTTAACCACTATGGGGCGAGGTTTTCTTTTTTTTCTTCAGAGCTCAAACTGGAAAGTCGAGTGAAGTTTTCAGCAAATTATTTAGGAAACCAGCCATGTCGTTGTCGTCTTTATCTTCAGGTATTGCGTGAATCCGCAGGTCGTCCTCTCCGTGCTCGGGCTTCCTGGTCAACCAGCTTCACTTCCAAATTAGCCTAGCGCTGTGATAGCCGCTCGACTAGCATCGATATTGCTTGAAGCGTGGTCTTAGACTTCGAAAGACTTCGTCCAGTTCGCTCGACTAGTGTCGATTGTTTAAAGCGTGTTCTTAGACTTCGAAAGACTTCGTCCAGTCTGGCGTTCGAGCTCTTTAACTCTTGTTGTCTCTTCGAAATTTACAAATTTCCTTGAGAACGTAACGCAACACTGAGCGTAATGTGGACCTCAAACATCAGTCGACACTTGGAGTGATTGACATCTTGACCTGCGGCTGGTTGACGGCAGTTGAACGGGGACGTTCCTCAGAGGCGTGGGGGGGTCTGGATCGGAGCC